TTTTTTTTTTTTGGTACTGGGGATGGAACTCAGGCCCTTGTGCTTGTGAGGCAGGTGGCGGCACCACTGAGCTAAATCCCCAGCTACACATTGCCTTTTTAAGAAGTCATCTTTTCATGAAAGTAGGTATAATGTGATATTTAATATAGTGGTCAAGTGTTGTAGTTTTCAGTAAGGGTATATAAACATAAAGAAGACATCTATATTTGAAGGCTTCATATCTGGTTGTAAAGTTAAGTTTTCATTGTACTATAATATGTTGGTTATTTGTAAAGCAAGGCAGTGTTATAGTTGTTACATTATTGATATGTCTTTTTCATTATTACAACATTATGTAACATTGAATGTTATAATTATTGTGACATACATTCTATTTACTTTTTTTTCTTTTGAGCCAGAGGGTCTCTCGCTATATAGTTCAGGCTGGCTTTGAGCTCACTATGTAACCCAGGTTGGCCTCGAACTTGTGGCAACCCTCCTGCCTCAGCCTCCCAAGTGCTGGGATTACAGGCATGCGCCAACACACCTGGCACATTAGTATTATTTATATTTAAAGTAGGTGGGCTGGGGGTGCTCAGTGGTGCTGCGGCACGCCTTGCAAGCGCAAGGTCCCGAGTTTAATCCCTGGTACCAAAAAATAAATAAATAAAGTAGATGACTTGGCTCTTCAGGTCAGTGAGTCGTAAAGGCTTTAGTGAGCCACTGTTGCTGATGGGAATATGTTGTATCACATATTTGGGGAGATGAAATTTTTTACTAATTAATGTCTTTGGGAGGAAAACTACTCAAATTTACCATAAAGCATTATTTGATAGCATTTCTGTTACCCAGAATGAAAACAGTGAAAACCTTTTTGTTTCTATAGAATATAAGAAATGTTGTATTCTGTAATTCTTTTGTTTGTTTGTTTTTTACATTGCTGGTGCATGTGCTAGACAAGGGATCCACACCGAGCCCAGTGAATCTCACCTTCGTGATACATAAGACAAACTGTAAACTTTTATGCCAGAAGAAATAATGGGCCTCATTTATACTTTGGGAAATAGAAACAGAAGTAACAACTGCTTTATTATTGGGAAAAAATAATTTTGAATAAGAATTTTATTATTAGAAAAGAAAGCAAAACTTTGTTGTGACAAGAAAAACATTTCTGACTCTGCTAAATCATACAGCGGTGTGAACTGTTCTGATAACTTATCTCCCCGAAGTGCTGAGTGAGATGCTGAGTGGTGCTCGTTTTATTGTCAACTCAGTCAAATCCTGGCTAACATTTTTATATTTTCTTCTTGTTTGTTACTGATTATTTTGTAGCCCATCCCTCAACCAGACCCTGTCCATAATATTGAAGAAACACATGATCATGTGCTGAAAACCAGATTAGAAGAAAAAAGTGAATGCCTTGAGCAAGGACCCATGATAGAACAACTTAGTAAAATGTTCTTCACGACCAAGCATCGTTGGTACCCTCATGGGCTGTAAGTCTTATTTTCTGTCTTCATTGCCCACTACACACTGTAAAGGAACGCAACTTTTCTTGCATTAACAGCTTCTGAAAAGGTATTGTGCATGGGGAAATGAACCCCATGCAAGAGCACATACTATATTATGCTTTTTTCTCATTTTTTTCTTTTCTTTTTATTATACTTTTAAATCCACGTATACTGTAATTAAAATGAAATAGTTCATTTTTTCCTTTATTCTTATTATTATTATTGTGGTTTTTTGAGACAGGGTCTCATTAATGTAGTCCAGATTGACCTTGAACTCACTGTGTAGCCCAGGTTGGCCTCAAATTCATGGTGATCCTCCTGCCTCAGCCTCCCAAGTGCTGGGATTACAGGTGTATGCCACCAGGCCTGGCCTATTTCTTTCATTTTAATGAGAGAATTTAACTAAAGCTTTCAATGAGTTTTGCATGAGTTCTTGAAAATTCTTTGATGGTAGACATTTAGTGTGTTGCTTTTGTTCCTTCTGATAAATAATTGATTCTGTTCTTACCCATTTATCCGTTTCTTTAATGTGAAAAATTGGAGTTCAAACTGAGCATGGTGATATACGCCTGTAATCCCAGCACTCAGAAGGCTGAGGCAGGAGAATCACTGTGAGTTTGAGGCCAGCCTGGACTAAGTAGCAAGATCCTTTCTCAAAAAAAAAAAAAATTGGGGTTCAGCAAATAACTGGGCAATATATATTATTCTTTGTTCCTATAGACATACAATTACCCTTCTGTTTGGAAGTGCTCACATTTTATAACATAAGTTCTTTGTTTTTGTTCTTCCCTCCTGGTACTGGGGATCAAACCCAGAGGTGCCCTACCACTGAGCTGTCTCCCCACCCCTTTTTCTTTATGTATCTATTTAGGTACTGGGGATTGAACAAAGAGCCTTTGCACTGAGCTACACCCTTATCCCCCACCCCCCTTTTTAAATTTTTAAATTTATTTATTTATTTATTTACTTTTTGGTACCTGGGATCAAACTCACGTCCTTGCACTTGTGAGGCAGGTGGCAGGACCACTGAGCTAAATCCCTGGCCCTTTGGCTTTGTTTTTTTAGACAAAGTCTCCCTATGTAGTTCAGGATGGCCTTGAACTCACTATGTACCCTAGGGTGGCCTGGAATTTATGGTGATCCTCCTGCCTCAGCCTTGCTGGGATTACAGTCCAGCACCACCACACCTGGCTTCTCTTTTTATTAAAACATGAATTATAGTTTAAGAGGTTTCTGTTCAGAGGAAAATATCCCTTATTAAAATTTCAATGATGAGTAAGATCGCGCCGAGCAGAGCGCGCGCAGCCGGACTAGAGCCGCCCCGTGAACTTCGTCCCCAGCGACAACGCCACCGCCAACCGCCACTGAGTGCCCGAGCGAGCAGTGGCATGAGCGAGGCGGGCCAGGCCCCCGGCTCCACCGGCGCTGCCGCGCCCCCGCCGGCACCCCCGGCCCCTGCTGGCCCCTGCTGGCCCCTGCTGGCCCCGGCCGGCGGCGAAGATGCGGAGAAGAAAGTTCTCGCCACCAAAGTCCCTTGGCACCGTTAAATGGTTCAACGTCAGAAATGGATATGGGTTTATAAATCAAAATGACACCAAAGAAGATGTATTTGTCCATCAGACTGCCATCAAGAAGAATAACCCTGGGCCAGGGATTTAGCCCAGTGGTTCCGTCGTCGCCTGCTGCGCAAGCGCAAGGGCCCGAGTTCGATCCCCGGTACCAAAAAAAAAAAGAACCCCCGCAAGTATCTGCGCAGCGTGGGAGACGGAGAAACTGGAGTTTGGTGTGGTTGAAAGAGAAAAGGGTGCTGAAGCAGCCAACGTGACCGGCCCGACAGAGTCCCGGTGGAAGGGAGTAGCTATGCTGCTACAGCCGGCGGGCCCCCGGCGCCGCCCCGCAGCTACGCTGGGGAGGAGGAAGAGGCAGGGAGCGGCAGCAGTGAAGGATTTGAGCCCCGCGCGGCTGATGGGCAGTTCTCGGGGGCCCCGGGCCAGCTGCGCCAACCCCAGTTTTACCCTCGGTAGTGGATAGCGTAGCGGCAGCGGCGCTTCCCGCCCTACCACGTGGGACAGAGCTTTGGCCGCCGCCCCCCGGGCCTTTCCCCAGCCCAGCAGATGGGGAGCTGAAGGACGGAGTCCCCCCGAGGGAGCTCAGCTTCAGGGCCTGGTGCATCGGAACCCGACCTACCGCCCACGGTACCGCAGAGGGCCTCCTCACCCGAGAGGCTGAGGACAAAGAATCAACAAGCGACCAGTGGTCCAAACCAGCCAGCTGCTCGCCGCGGCTACCTGTGCCCCTACAACTACCGACGTCGGCCCCACCCTCCTAACACTCCTTCGCAAGATGGCAAAGAGACCAGGGCAGGTGAAGCACCAGCTGAGAACCCGGCGCTGAGTGACACCGGGTCCCTGGGCCCCTTCACCACCAGCAGGGTGACCTAAAGAATAACTATTCAAAAATAAAGCAAACCTTACCAACACCAAAGACACATCTAAGCAATAAAGTGGAAGACTAAACAAGATTTGAACATTGGAATGTTTACCATTAGTCTTTGAGAAACTAACAACTGCAAGAGGAAGATGTCAGAAAATATTTCTAGCCATCTGGGAGCCCAGGAATGCCTGCACAGGATATAGGAGAGCATCCTCCCCAGTTTCAGCTACCACTAGGTTTATATTTTTTTCCTGGTTTTTACTGTTTTGGTAATTGAAAGAAGAAATATTAATTCTACATGGGGAGTACCCCAACCAAAGAAATCTGAAATTGTTATGTAGTAAATGGTTTTCTTCCTTTTTTGTTCATTTTGGATGCTGGTGCTAAACTTCTAAGTGTCGTGATTTTAAAAAAAGTTTTCCCCTTATTTATTTTTAGGATGGGGGGAGGACAACATTTTTGCTTCCTTTTGTGACTCTCTTTGGAAATATGCAGTAAAAATTTTCTCAAAAATAAGATTTTTAACCTTAAAAAAAAGAATTTCAATGATGCATGGTTATGTTTATGATGTGGCATTTCTTTGCTATGAAGACAAGTCATTAAGCCTTTTTGTTGTTGTTTTTGTGATGCTGGGATTAAACCCAGGGCCACATCCCTTACCCTTTTCATTCCTTTTATTTTGAGACAGAGTCTTGCTAAATTAACCAGGCTGGGCTCGAATTTGTAATCCTCCTGCCTCAGTTTCCTGGAGTGCTGAGATGACAGTTGTGTGCCACCACACACAGCTATAATTATTTATTAGTTTTTAATTAAAAATCAGTAATTCAGCTTATTTTGAAATTATCCCCAAGAGCTGAAGGATTTTCCAAAGTGCTTAATTAATAGAAAACAGTTCTTGTAGGACTGAGTGCTACATGCCTGTAATCCCATCACTGTGGGAGGCTGAGGGGGGGAGGGCTGAAGAGTTTAAGACTATCCTAAGCAATTTAGTAATTTGGTGAGATCTTGTCTCAAAAAAAAAAAAATTTTTTTTTCTTAAAGGCTGAGGATGTACCTCAGTGTGAAGGAACTAGGTTCAATCCCCAGGAATGTTAAAAAAAAAAAAAGTTTCCATAATGGGAGAGTGTGACTAATGTTAAAAAATGTGTGAAATATTTCAATAGTATATTTATAAAATTACCTTGAAAAAATAGATAAAATTTAATTGATTTTTCAAATAGTTCTAATAAAAACAGCAAAATACAAACATTTAAGATTTTTTATCGGGGGTAATTAACTTTTTTTTTTTGAGACAAGGTCTCATTGTGTATAGCCCAGGCTGGCCTGGACCTCATGGCGATCCTCCTGCCTCTCCCTCCCGGGTGCTAGGATAACAGGCATGCACCACCACACCCAGCAAGAGTAATTAATTGATTAAAAGAATCGTATCTCAAATATCTTTTTTCAAGGTATCACAGACGTCGTATGAAACTGAATCCTCCAAAAGACAGATGATATTGAGGTTCTTGGAAGAATCGGAGAAATGTTATCTTGTGCCTCCTTTGCCATTGGAGAAAATACACTCTGATGCTGTGGTAATAGTAAAGTAATAAAATGTCTTTTCATATATGAGATTGTGTATTTATTTCTTTATTAAATCTGGATTTGACATTCATTTTTCAGTGAAACTTTTTTTTTAATAAGCAAAAGTGTTTGTTTGGGCTCGGGTTTGCAGTCCCAGCCCGAGATGGAGCGGCCCCTGCCCAGGCCGCACATTAGGGTGGCAGCGTGTGGTGGCGCGAACCTGCCCAGCTCACGAATCAGAAAGTGAAGAGAGGAAGGGGTCACCGTCCAGTCTCCCTGCAGGGCAAGACCCAAGACCCGAGGACACCCCTCAGGTCCCCACTGCCTCCGGGCCTCGGGGACAAAGGCTTTACGGTTTACATTTGGGGACCTTCACCTCCTAAACTGCAGGAGGCCTCGCTTGTGGGACTAGGTGCTGAAAGCCTCAGCTCCCTAACCCGAGACCGCTCTCATCCGGGCCCTAAGGGGAGGTGCTGGGACTCGGACGGCGCCCCACTCCGGGGCCGTCGCCGAGTGAGGTAGGACGCTGGCTGAACAGTGAGCCGGGACGAGCTCACCTCGAGCGAGTCTGGCTTGCTCGGCCGGCCGCCAGTCACTAAGGTGCAGGCCCGCGTCAGGTCCTGCAGTCACCCGTTCTTCGTCCCGTCGTCCTGGGTCTCCTGTCTCTGCGTGGTCTCCAGGACGCTCAGGCCCGGCCCTCAAACGGTGGGGAAACCCGGCTCCCTTCACTTCTGCTTCGCACCTGTCCCTGCCTGCCTGCCTGCCAGCGGACGCACTCTGTCCCCGGGCCCAGCTCGGGCTCTGGCCAGCACTCGGCCACCTTCTGAGCCCGGCTTGGCCTCTCCGCGCTCCGGCTCCTTCAGCCACCCTTGGCTTCCATTGCCTCTCTCTGCCCCTGCTGGGCTCCCCAGGTCTGGTCCGGCCCCGCTTCCCTGCCCCAGCGCCCGCTGCTCTCCGGCATAGGATGCCTGTGCCCAGGACTCTCACCTTGGGAATCCTGCCTGGCCTCTCGGCCCCGAATACTCCCACTCAGCCCCGAACTATCTGCGCCCCAGGTAAAACTATTTCATCTTATTTCCCTTTGAGATATTAAAGTCTGTAACCTGTCTGGTATGACCAGGTATTTTAATATCAGCCCAACATCATTATTAGCATAAATGATTAATAAAATGTGCATACTTCTGAAGGGATTTTTATAGTTTATACTGGTTTTTTTTTTTTTTTTTTTTTTGGTAACGGGGATCGAACTCGGGTCCTAACACTTGGAACGCAAACGGCAGAACTACTGAACTAAATCTCTGGCTCTGAAGAGATTTTTAAATTGCCTTTAAGAATAATTTTTTTTTTTTTTTTTGGTACTGCGGATCAAACTCCGGACCTTGTGCTTGCGAGGCAGGCGGCGGTGTCACTGAGCTAAATCCCTGGCCGAAGAATAAATTTATAAACTGGGCATGGTGGTGCATGCCTGTAATCCCAATACTTAGGTGGCTGAGGCAGGAGGATCACTGCTAGTTCAAGGCCAGCTTGGGCTACATAGTGAGTTCAAGGGCAGCCAAAAAGGAATAAACTTACGCAGTTTACACAGGAAATAGATGTTGCAGTGTTTGCATTGGCTTCTAGGCAATGAATTTGTTACTTTTTCACTTTCTGCACAGTACTACATTTCATGCTAACCCTTGAAGGGACATCACCCTCACTATCAGGGAGGCTGCCTGACAGAGCCCTACCTCGCAAATGGAGGCGCCAGCGTCTGAGCTGTCAGCTCCACAGCCCTTCAGCGCATTACAAGTTGGTGGCTTCCTTTCACCCAGGACAGTGTCCTAGAGGTTTTCTAGGATATTAGGTAAGTTGTGATTCTTTTTCTTTTTCTGGGTGTTTCAAAAATTATGTTAGGATCAGAACACATGTGCATGATTGTAGCTAGCCCTGACTAAAATGTGCCACCATGCCCATGGTGGGGTGGTGTTAACAGGTCGATCCACTTACACAGCGTCCCACACACTGCTGTGCCTGTGATTTCTGTTTAGCAGGTGAGGAATCTTTTAAGAAGATGGGAATGTGCTTTATTCAAACTTGTAAAATATTTGTGATGTTAGGGCCGGGGATGATTTAGCTCAGTGGTTCCGGCGCCTGCCGCGCACACGCAAGGGCCCAAGTTCGATCCCTGGTACCAAAAAAAACCCAAAAAACAACAACAAAAAAATATTTGTGATGTTTGAAAAACAGGTATGCAAAATAAGTTCTCCCTTAATGTATTATTTAGTTCTTTTAGTAAAGAAAATCCAGCTGACAGCCCAAGTGGCCGATACAACGTGAAGAACAGCAAATAGGAGAGAATAAAGGAAGTGATAATGGCAACCCTGTGTTGCCCAAAAGTAATGTTTTTAAGTGGTTTACTTTTTTCATTAATATTAATGGGATCAACATAAGTTTGATAAAAACTTGATAGGCAGAAATATTAACCAGGTATGCCGATGATAAATCCTTGAGGGATGATTCATTTTTCCCCCATGCTTATGTCCCAAAATTTTACAAAGATCAAGACAGGGTAAGAATAAAAACAAAATAACAAAATTTTTCTTCTGTGTACAAAGATCTATTAAACAGATGGTTCCACTCCAGGATGCCCAAGCCGAAACATTAAGATGCCAATGCTTTGAAGAATGAATTTTGGGGCTGGGGATTTAGCTCAGTGGCATCGCGCCTGCCTTGCAAGTGCAAGGTCCTGAGCTCGATCCCTGGTACTGGAAAAAAAAAAAAAAGAATGAATTTTGACCTTGTTTTACTGGGAATATAGATTAACACTGTTGTTCCTGGAATTTTACTTTTCGTAGGTTGCTCATTTTTCACTTTCTTAAACACATATTCCATCACCAGTACCACCTCTCCCATCCTTTGCCTCTTCTCACCATCACACTAACTTTTATTTTTCAGGTACTGGGGACTGAACCCAGAACCTTCACACTGAGCTACATCCCCAGCCCAGTTTTTATTTTTGATTTTGAGACAGGGTCTTGATAGTTTCCCTGGGCCAGGCTTGAACTTGAAATCCTCCAGCTTCAGCCTCCCAAAATGCTGACATTTTTAAAATTAATTATTTTTCAGGGATATGAAATTTTTTAAATTAAAAGACAGTTTGAAGATGGAGAAGGTGGAAAAGAGAGATGACAGGCAGCTACTGTGGATGAGTAGGGAGAATTCGAAAGTGAATTGCTCCTGGATTTCTTGTCCCAAGCTCCCTTTATTGAGATTCCTGACCCACATAGGCTCCTGGAATCTGATTGGCCCCCTGGCTTGTCTTTCATCCTAATCTTGGATTTCTTCTGGCCAGGACTTTTCTCTGTCCTAGCTTTTTTTCTTGGATGGCTTTTTAAGGTTCTTGGTCCTTAACAGCTTGCTGATCCCTGCATATCTGTTAGATATCTAACATGCTGAGTTTGTGTTCTCTAATGTCGAATAATCAATTTTAGGAACAACAGTTTAAGAGTAGGAAAAATTTACTGTTAGAGAGAAAGCTTCTAAGACAGACATGAAAATTATTTTTCAATAAACACTGGGGAAGTAGGGACAGGAGGAAAAGCGACAGAGTGGTGTTTTCCACATCTACGGGACACAAGAAAAGCACTTAGACATTCAGCTGGGGAGCCTTGCTGTCATAATCCCAATGTGGGTAATCACAAAGGGTTCCTGCACTGTTGGATTCCACATAAATCACATGTTTGTTGCCAACATTTCACAGGAGGAAGGAGGCTCTGATTATACCAGCCATGCTTTTGTCCAAAACAATACACAAAAAAGAACCCAAAACAATACCCTTCCTCCCACACAACCATATACAAAACCAGAACGCTCTGGAACAACCAGTTGTCTGCCAAACCTTCAGCGAGGTACAGAGAGCAGCGTGGATGAGAGATGTTGCTGCCTTAGAGGCTTTGCTACAAATGCAGGAACAGGAAGTGACTTGTAATTGTGTGCAGAATATGTGTCCGCTTCTTTGTGGGTGCTGCGGTTCATACCCGGCTTCATCTTTGTCACTCTCCTCTGTCACGGACCAGGTGTGCACCCTCATTTGCCCTCTTTGTCCTTTTGTCCCAGCTCCTGTTCACCCTCTAGGCGATCTGGCAGGACCACGGAGCCACCACTGCCGAATCCCCCTCGGCTTCCTGGTCCTCTTCACGGCTCACTGCACCCTGTTTCCTGCAGCCGTCAGCCCGTCCCACATTTACCTACACCCCAGCACTGCCCTTGCTGCCGTGCGCCCCTCATTATACAAGGGTTGAAGCGAGCCTTGATGCAGGGCTCATATTTATCCAGGTAAACGGCATGGATCCGGCAAGGGGTCATAGTTCATGCCCAACTTGCTGAACATCCACCCCAGGGAGTCCTTGCAGATGGGCAGGATGCTGGCGTCAAACCTGCTTTGGGCCGTGTCGGAGCTGGGGGCTTGATGACCCCATCTGCATCCTCGTGAAGAGCTCCAAACCAGTCCTTCAGCCGGGAGGCAGGGCTCCTCAACTGTGGCGTTCTTTTCTGTGTTTCGGCAGCTCAGGTTCTGGGAGACAAGCACAGGGCCCATCGCAGACAGTGGTCAAAGGACGTGTTGGGACTCCAGTTTCTGAAATAATCATCGTCCCCAAAGCGGTTCCAGTACTTGTCCCCGTCTTTCTGGGAGACGCTGCCCAGCCACTGGTTGTCGTCTAGGAAGTTACCATTGTTGAGGCCCGAGCCTCCACATCGCCTTCTTCAACGTTGCTGCCCATGATAAGCCTTTAGGCCCCGTCTCCTTCTAGCTGTTTGCAAACAAAGTTCCAAAGACAGCAGAAAACTTTAATGCTCTGAGAGCTGGAGGGAAAGGATTTGGTCCTGAGGGTTCCTGCTTTCACCGGATTATTCCAGGATTTATGTGCCAGGGTGGTGACTTCAAAGGCCACAGTGGCACTGGCAACAAAGCCATCTACAGGGAGAAATTCGAGGAGGAGAACGTCATCGTGAAGCACACAGGCCCTGCCACCTTGTCCATGGAGGATGCCGGGCCAGACACAAACGGCTCCGAGCTTTTCATCTGCACTTCCGGAAGAGCGGTTGGACGGTAAGCAAAGCGAGCGGTCTTCCGGAAGGGGAAGAGAGCGCGAACATGGGGGTGGGGGGCATGGCGCGCTTTGGGGCCAGGGACACCAAAAGCTGCACAAAGATCACCAAGGTGACTGGAGAACTCCAGCGTGCTTGACTGGCCTGTGTCCCATTCCTCTGCAGAGCCCTCCGCCCCATCTGCTCTCAGGATTCCATTGTCTCCGTACTCTCACTGCGGATCTTTGGGTTCCGTATTTTCCTTGCTCCCCTCTAGGTCTAGCTGGATTGCAGATTTAAGTTGATGGTAATCAATACAAACTAAATAATGAAAAGAATTTTTTCACGCCCGGCCCCATCACTAACATTTTTATGAAATATGTATTTATTTCTTTAGTATATTTAAAAATTGCATAAGTGAAATGGTCCTGTCAAGTGAATAGATTCAGCTACACAAGAAACTACCCCCAGGCGTTATTTCCATTGGGAAGGCAAGACGATAAAAAGCATTATTGGTGAAACCACCAGAGGGCACTCTCACACAGGGTTCAATTTCCACATCCCTCACCCCAAGGCAGTGATTTAAAAGCATTTAATTAGCAGAGAATTTGGATATTCATTAGTTGTGAATGAGTAGTAGGATAAATGGCAGTAGTGAAATTAAGTGTTGGAATAGTCAGAGGCTATTTTTCATTTTGTTGATCTACTCATCAAACAAAAACTCCTAATGAGAAAGCTGACTTTTTGATTGGCCAAGAGGAAATAATGGTTCAGCAAGGGCCCTAATGCCTACTGAACCAATGCCTAGGGATCTATGTGGTTTTTCTAAAGACATTGTTTTCCAATCATGAGTGTAGTTCACTTACTTTTAAAAGAGACCAAATCGGAAAATAATTGCCCTATCCAAGAGAACATTATTAACATTTTTGTGTTCTTCATTTTATTTCTCTGCATTAATATATTTTGGAAATAAAAATAAAAGGACTAGGAATGTAGCTCAGTAGTAGAGTGCTTGCCCAGCATGTATGAGGCAGTGGGTTTAATCCCCAGTGTAGCTAAATAAATAAAATAGGGCTTGTTATGCATGCTGTTTTGTAGCTTGCATTTTTCATTTAATAGGAATCTTTTCCACATCATTAAATACTCTGATTTAATGGGTGCATGCTCTATAATCTGAATTGTCATAATTTAATTAACTTCCTACTGTTAGACATTATCTCTGTTTCTGTTTGCTCCATGTTATAAATAATGCTGTTACTAACATCCTGGTAGATCCTTCCTGAGTTATTTCCTTAAATTAATTTCTGCATGTGTAGCTATTGAATCAAAAAGCATTCATGCTCACTTATGTATGTACATACGTGTGTATTTATGTAGTAGTACTGGGGATTGAACCCAGGGTCTTCACACTGAGCTATGTCTTTTTTTTTTTCAAACCTTACTTTTTATTTTTAAGAAGAATTAAATGTTGAACCATGATGTTATGATATCTACTTATGAATTTTATCTGTACTCTTTGAAATTGCACTGGCCAAACATATTGTTCACATGATTAGAAACAATAAATTTAGTGATTAATTGTATTAATTTTGTTTTTGCTTAAATTCTTCTATTGGTACATTTTAGGTATACAATACATTTACATTTATCATTGGGTGCTTGTACCTGTACATGATGTATCTTGGTTCT